CGATACTTTTGGCAGCATAGTACATCTGCTGAGACCTCATTCTAATTCATAACAACATTATCCAACTATGTAATATGGCCATTAGAGAAATAACTGTACAAAACTCATTCTGGATTGATGAAGCAGAAGTGGACTCATAATTAGACAAATCTCATGGGATGTTAACCAGCATCAAAAGAATCCAGAGGAACTTTCTTTGAAATATGACAGCTGCAGTCCACAGAAGATTTTAATGAACTATTTTATTCTTCTAAACTTCACATTGAATCTCATTGGTAAGGAGACAATTTAAGTAGATATCAGATACAAATTTTTTAGCATGGAACTTTTTTTTTTTTTAACCAGCACAAAGGTTGAAATAGTTCAAAGATTGTCAAGAGTCCAACAAATCCACTGAAACAAATATAAGAAGCTGAAAATCTTTGGTAGGATTCTCAAGATTTAGACAGGATGTTCGTTTTGATTCTGAAGCTTATCACAGTAGGTTGTAATATATTATAAACTTGAAGCACAGTTTAAACACAATGTTATCCAATCTGCTCAAGTTGTATTTTCCTTTCTTTCACTTCAACCATAAAAAACTTGTATTTTTCTCTCATATGCTTCTGACAGGGAGCCTTGTGTTTAACTTGCTTTGTCCAATATGTCCTCTGTCCCTCCTTTACATGTGTATGAAACATCTCATTCTTTCCTTTCTGACAACTTCATTTAATCCTGTCCAGTGTGAATGATCAATCTTGACATTTCCATTTCTACCAGCTGAGTTTCTTTTTTCTTGGTGACACTTTCTACTAACCAAACATCCTAACAGCTTTCTCTAACGTTCCATGAACCTTCTCGTTTATTTGCATCTCTTCTATCAAATCTCATCAGTGAACATCCACAACTGCTTGCTCTTCCTTCCTCACCTCTCCTGTGCACTGATGGTGACTTTACCTCAGGTACTTCCACATCTATATTAGGTACACCTTAGGAGCATTTGAATTTGAGTGGATTGAAATAGAGTTTACTGTAAGCATTGTTTGACTTTTCTTCTGTGGTAGCATACATTTATGGTTTAAAATAATTTGACTTTGCGATTTGACGCCTTTTGTTGAATGAGTAAAACAAGGTTATTCTTTTTGCTGACCTGAAATGAAATCACTTTCTTTTCTAAAAATAAATAAATATTCATTTTAAAAATAATCAATCGTTGATATATGAACATTTCTTTTCAACCGTGTCCCAATTTTTTCCACTTGACTGTGTGACCCTACTTTGTTTGTTTACACTCAAGGCTCTTAAATCGGATTTTGGATTTAAGTGTTTGATTTGGTGAACCTAACAAGAAAAAAAAAGAGAAGAACAAGCTGTAGGGTATAACTAGAAGAGGATACGGTGACAGGAACGAGGAGAGTGGGTGCGGTAGTGGAGAGGAGCCGCTCGTCCTGAGGGGTTTCCCAAAATATGTGTGAGTGTCTGTGAGAGGGAGACAAACCAAATAAAGATGGAGACCACAAGGCTGAGTGTGATTTTGCCTCCAAGTCTCACACACTGCTCTGTCATGTCTGCAGTCCTGATCAGAGGAAACTTGTCACAATGCTGCCACTTCTGCGGCGTGTCATGGTCCCAACCAACAGGCCCGCCATTGGCGAGCACACACATGCACATTGCCAGCGCTCTGATTACTTCGGCGTTTGAAAATCTCATCTCCCTCATTGCCTTTCCGCGTCTTCCTAATTGTACATGACATGCAGATTACCAAAGTCATCAGATGGATTATGGAGAGAGGGATGGAGGTGGGGATGTCAAGTGGGATTTGGGCAGTTACCATTTCAAGTTAAAGTAGTTTGAGGTCAAACAGACCGCTGGCTCCTTACCATGAATCATTTTTGCATACAAATGTGCAGAAAGTTGGAGTTCACAACCGAATAGTTACTTTTAAAGAGTTCTAAAATTCCTAAACTCTACCATTAAAGTGGCAGTCAAAGCATTCCTCACTGCTGTGATACATCTGTTGTGCACTTTAGCCCAACTGAGTTGCGCCACTTGTTTCTCAGGAAAGGCTCAACAATTGTGCCATTATATTTCGTCTCTTTAAGAGCACATGCTGAAAGGTGTCACGTAAACCTTGAAAAGAATCTTGTGCAAATGGTTTTGCTTCATGTCAGGCAAACTGCAGCTTTTTCAGCTCTCAGCTCTGAATGAGGCGCCTTGCCTCATTCAATATCTATCAATCAAATTTTTTTTGTATAGCACATTTCAGTAGTAAGGCATTTCAAAGTGCTTTACATCCATAACAAATGCAAAAACACAGACATGCAACATAGAATCAACAATCAAGCATGACATTAAGTCAAGTTCCATCATTAAATTTGTAATTGATTACGTTCAATTCCCAGTACATCGATGCAATAAATGATACACAACGGAATCATTTTTCTTTAGCTGTTTACCTGGACCTGGGTTCTCAGTTGGCTCATGAGTTGATAAGACAAATAAATGTAAATCAATACAAAAAAAAAATCTGATATTCAGAATTGTCGTCTTTCAGACCACATAATGGGGGAAGGAAACTGTAAGTTTAAACATTTTCCATACTTGGTGTAGGAGCCAGAGAACCTCTGCCTTAAAAAGGAGCAGGTTTGTTATCACATCCAGTCTTTCCTCAGGTTATTACTTTAGTTGCGTTTTAGCAGCAAGCAAGGTTTTAGAATTAAGTTCACAAACCAGACAAAACAAATTTAGCATTCAGCTGTGTCATTAATTCCTGGTCATCATGACCGTTTCTTACATATTTACAAATCACTCAAGCAGTAATTTGCCTGTTTCTTGTTTGTTGAAGTGCATTTATTCACTCTACAGCAACATTGGTGTTACTTGAAAACACCAATGGCTCAAACAGTTGAGCTTCAAAATATCTGAACCTTAATGTATATCGAGAAAACAAGAAGAAATTCAAGATGTTTACAAATCAGTAAACATAAATATATGTTGTTAAAATGGCCTTAATTTTTAAGTAAAATTCCTTAAGATACTTCAATGTTTCTTTTTCATTTCACTCCTCTTATCCCTCCACCTCTCTCTATATTGCCTTTTGTGGAGTATAAAGCAGGAGTTTTCCAAGGCTTCTCTCAAGTAAGAGGCTGTGTTACAACATGTATGTTTGTCCCTTTTCTTGTATCCTTGCAATCAGGAGCAATGTGACATTCCCAGGTGCTCCTGAGAACTGGAAATGAATAAGTGCTACAGCCTTGACAGAGTTTCCATGTAGCTCAAGGAAGTAACTGTCTTGACAATAAAATCTCTTTTTTTCCTTCTCTCCTTCCCTCACAGGTCTTATTTACCCTCCAAACTGCCTTTCTCCTTTACACCTTGAAAGAAACACCATGCTCTTCTAATCATTACCAAGTCAACTTTAGTTCTCTGGCACTTTCCCTTTTTATTCAGCTGTAATAAATTGGAGAGTGGTGGAGGATTTTGACATTTTCCAACACTAAAGGTGGCTCGTCATGTAAATAACCGAAGAGACAAAAGTGTCATTTGGAAACTGAGAAAGCTCCTTATTATGCTTTGCATCCTCGCAGTGAGTCTTTGTTTGGTCCGAGAGCTTTGTTGTGATAATTGGCTTCATCTGCCACTCCAGTGATGGTGTGAATATATGGTATGACTGATTATTTTTACATATAAAAAACATTTTCCTATCTGACAATTAATCTACCTTTATTTTTCTGACCTGTTTAAATCTTTAATCACACAATATATAAAAAACAAACAAACAGAAAAAATGAGATCCTCCATATATAAACTCTTGACTTCTTATGGCAGCTGAATTAAAATTTTTTTATATCAAGTTAGCTAAATATAGCTAATTTAGTGTCAGTATGTGGTTATGAAATGGTTATATTTTCAGTAGCTTGCAAATATTTTAAGTCACAAATTGTAAACATCTGAAGCTTTAAAAGATATTCAACAATTTTTTTGAGTTATTGAAATGTGATTTTTATTTAAACAGAAATTATTAATCTATGAATTGCATGCTGCAATGAGTTTAATTGTTTGGTGCTGAAACAAAAGAAAAAAAAGACTAGCATTTTTTTTACACCACCTGGCGCTCATGCATTTGGATTGCATCATACATCTGCAACCTAAATGCATGTTCTGTTGTGATCTGACACCTCAATGTAAAATGAATCTAAATATTAAGTTAAAGTTTAATTTGAGAAATATTCATCAATGGTTTTGTCTTAAACAACATACTTGTTGTACCATGCATCTTGAATTATGACGTAAAATCAGAATGAAGTTCTAAGACTTAAGTCTAAAAATATTTCATTTATGATTTATCCTTAAAGTTATTCGTTTTCAAATGTAGCCCTGTTGTAGGTGGATGTCAGTTATTTGACAGACAAAGCCCATCTGTGTCTGTCGACATTTTTAAAGCTGCCTCAGGTCTTCAATTTGTTTGGAGATTTGCAGAAGTTATTTATGGTTTGCTATCGAATCAGACAGAAATCATGGAAAATTGGGTTTCCATGATTTCTGACTATTTTGTTTGATAAATTGTCGCACACTAGCTTACCTACACAGCTAGTTCTCCTGGGGTCTTTCACTCCCTGAAAAATGTCAGGCTTTCTCCTCCTATAGATACCAGTGGTTATTTGGGTTTATTTCTCCAATCTCGTTGTTCACCTCAGAACAGAGATGGAATCCATTTCTGTCTGCTTGGCGGTGAGGTAGACTGTAGGACAAGGTAATTTGGCTGGCTGGCACCCTCTTGTATCTCTCTGTCTGAGCTGCTGAGCAATCTCAGGGCTTATTTCTCAAGTTTACCTCGAACAAACAAGTGAGCAAAAGCACAAAACCCCCCAGTTTTCTGTACAGAGTGGCATAAACTGCTCTAAGGCTGTCCACGCGCTCTGACTGGTTGCTGGGTTTGCTGTTGGTTTTAAGAATCAATTGTGCAAGTGGAAAAAGGACAAAAAAAGTTTATTATTATTATTTATTTATTTTTTTGCATCAACATGATCAACATCTTGGACAGTTTGGGCATAATTCAAGAGTAATACAAATACTAATTCCTTCACAAATGTTTGTCCAACTGAATTTATTGTTCTCCTTTAAAATGGAGAACAAAAATCCCAGTCAAAGGATCTACTTTGCCAGTGGTTTAAAGAGGAGTGTAGTGTCCAAGCACAAACATATCAGTAGAAAAACAATGGAAGTACAAAGATCACAAGGAAGCACATTTTGGATTGAGTAAAAAAAAAATACAAAGGTATGTCAGGTTAAGAGTGAAATCAGAGCACCAGGTTTTCTTTTCAGCAAAAATGTTTGGCTTCAAATGTGCTGAAGTTCTTAGGGAGCTGGTCTAATTTACGACTCATAAGGGAAAGTTTATCAAAGCATTGAGATTGTTGTTACAGATGCTACAGAGGGTATAACAAAGGAAGCATCATTGTCAGAGTATGCCGAGTTGTTCACAGATGCAAGCTGACTGTGAGGCAGCATATGGTTCCACAGCTCTGCCCTAATATACATTCAAATAAATCCTCCTTTGTCCACACAGTTGAGCAGAATTTTCATTAACTTTTTTTTTTCAATGTTACAAGCACTTTAGGTAATGAGTGTGACTGCAGACATGAGCAGATATTTAAATTCATACGGGTAATTTAGCACAAGGCCGGTCAACCAACATGGCCACTGAGAGTAAACCAAAAGTGACAAGATTGTAGGAGATAATAAAAACAAATGGAGAAAATCTCTATGATAGTTGGAACAGTCAATGGAGCTGAAAAATGTTAAGTTTTCTTCTGAAGACCTGCACACTGTGCAGTTTGGCTGAAGCAGAAGAGGGCAAAAGTGCATTTGGATAAAAGAAATGATGTCCTGAGATTCCACATAATATCATTTGGAAATAAAAAAGAGCACATTGTAGAAGAACCTCTGGTATTATTACCAGGAAAAGAAAAATGGAATGACTGCTTTAAGCATTAACATTGTGTAACTTCTGTTTCCCAAGTAAAAAGAGGTACTTTTTGACCCAAGAACATGTGGAATGGTCATTTGGAGCAATGAAATCAGACTCTAGGCTGAGCTTAAAACTACAGTGAGGTTTCCCCAGAGATTCCTTCTGGTACTTGATAACCGTCCAGTTATTTAGAAGTTACAAGACATATAAAAAGGAAATAATTTTAAAAAAAGGAGCATTATAAAGGCAGAGAAGGTGATGTCAGTGGGCTAGCAGTGATAAAGGAGAGGTCGATGCAGAGCTGCAGTCCACACCTTTAATGGGGACACTGTAGACTTTGCTCACTGTCAGAGTGTAAGGCACTTTCACTGAACACGTCAGGAAGAGGAGAGCTCACAGGTCAGTGGTGATGACAGGTGTGACCCCATGGATGAGCAGAGTGGGTCCTAAATCCTGAGTAAGCAGATCCAGCTGGTGTAAGTATGTGGCGTATCGCCGGGTGTCGGCTGGGGGGCGGGGCAGATACAGGAAACGCACGGCAGGAGGTGGCATTGCCTGATCCAGGATCAGCTTATTGACAGCCACGAGGTAGTCATCGGAGACGCGTGTGGCGTTGCTTGGGAAGCTGTTGGCGTAGTCTTCTTCGCTCTCCTCCTCGATTGCTCTGGCCTCCATCTCATCAGCGGTCAAGTCTGGAGACTTGGACATCAGGTTCTTGTTGATTCCACTTTGCCGCTGCCAGTGCAGCGCCACCACCTGGTCCCAGGGTACGGTTATCACTTGCGCTTTAATTCTCAAATCTTTGAGGAGCTGGCCTAGTTTGGCCTCCGGGCCCTTGACGCTTCGCCCCTCCTCCACGCACAGAAAGAGTCGCAGAGAAGCTTTGCGCCAGGCTTTCACCATGTTGAGGATGCATGCTAGCTGCAGCAGGAACAGGGAGCAGGTGTCGACGTAGCTGCAGCTGTCCGGGCGCAGGAGGTTTACTGGCCAAACATCAACAAACACGTCCACTTTTGCTAGGGCGGAGGGAGGCGAAAGGATCCGAGTTTTATCAAAGTCATTGAAATATCGCGCAAGAACCACATTCTTGAGCATCTTCATGGCGTCAGAAATAACAGAGACATACTCCTGGGGGCCTAAAACCTTCCCATCCCCAAATTCACCATAATCCTGCCTGTCGCTGGACCCCCGCAGGGAGGCAAAGCGGTGCAGAGGGGGCTGCTCGAGGTCCAGAGAAGGACTGAAGGGATCTGTGGACTCGGTGGAAGACGTTGACGATTCAATCAGCTTATCTTTCGGAAGGCAGTCGTCATAGAAACCGAGGACCAAGGTGTTGGGGCGCATCCCACCTGGAAGAACAGGAGCAACCAAGAGAAACTAAACAGTCAAACTGACTGGAAAAAAAGGCATCATAATTATTCATCAGGACACAATATGAAACTAAGTAAGTCACACACGACACAAACAGCTACACACAGCGACACTGGCAGCAGTACTGACCAAGTCCTGAGATGAAGAGTAGATGCTGGACGCCATGACGGACAGAATCTGCCAGAGTCAGGTTGACAAAAGCTTTGATGTTCAGATGGTCTACCAGGGACAGCCATGAGTCATACTGAGCCTGCAAGGGGTCAGATGGTAAAGTGCCTGAATGAGAGAAAAACACCAAAGAATGGACATGTGAGAATCAGGTACGATAGTCAGGACAAGAAAGGACAAGCTCTGTGCAAGTTTTAGGAACTTAATTGTAAAACAACTTAAAGAGCATGAGTTACACATTTTGCTCGATCTATTGACACCAACATTGGCACCAGCTGATGTTAAGACGTTTTTATTTGACTGTGAAAGTTAAATAAATGAAAATGGGCCGATAATGACATGTTTATTTCCACCTTGTTGATGTTTGTTTCTGATGCAGTGCAGAATTGTGGGGGAGTTTAACTGAAGCAGAGAAGCGGAGCAGAAGTGTAGTGAAATATATATTAGCAAATATCAGTCATCAGCCAAAATAGCAATATCAATACTGGATATCCATATCGGCCCAAATTCAACCCATAAACTAAATATTGTGTTTTATCTTAGACATGTATTTTTATTAGGTCAAAAAGTTTTAACACCTTCCAATAGCGATTATAACAAGCTTCATTACAGTTTAATAGATAGTTTTAATTACCTGAAATCTTGACTAGAGGCCAAACCCTATTAAATAGGAGATGGTAATAAATCACTAAAAAAGCTTTTGTTTTTGTCTTTCTAAAGACACTGCTAACAGGTCAGTTCAGGATGTTAAGTTTTTCAGGGCTTCCCTATCAGGAAGCTTCATTACTGTAAAATCCTATTTAATGGACCATTTTCCCATCTTCCTGCATTTTTAACAAAACTTTATAGTTTTGTTAAAGCAGATCAATACCACCTCAAAAAAAAAAAGGGGAGTAGATACTTAAGCTAGGCGCTGTGCATACATTTAGAGTGTCCCTTGCACCATCTTAATGCTGTTAGGGTTTGACATTGTGCCACAAAACAGGAAAATAGCTGCAAATGTTGGGATCTGCATCTAAACAGTGAGTACTTTACAGTTTCTGAAAAAATAAGCTAAAGAGTGACTAACCTAAATCCTTTTCTGGGTTAAAAGTCAGTAGTCAGTTTCTAACAAGTAGTACTATGAAAAGTAACTAAGTAGTGACTGCTAAATATTTCTGGATTCTAAGTTGGTTGTAATTCTAATTCATTTTCTGGGCTGTAGCAGTATGAGTCTGCATAAAAATTATTTAGGAAGTTTAATGTTGATCTTAATTGTGCATACTCCACAATTTCTGACTTCACTAATGAATTAAAATAATCTATCAGAGTTTATAAAAACAGATGGGTAAAACACAATGTTTCCAGATCTGAATAAAATATAGATTTCTGTTGTGTATTACCAAATAAACCCAAAAGTACCCGGATATGAAGTGAAAAACTGCATAGCTGACATAAAAAATGAGGCAGAGGGAGACAAAGATGTGAGACAAGATGCTGAACGGTGGGAGTGAGGGAAGAAAGAGATAAAGATCCAACTCCAGATGACAGCGCAGACAGAATGTTGGACAGAGCAAAGATGCAGAGAGACACAACAGGGAGGTGGGTTATCCATCACTCCCAAAAAAGCAACTGTAGGTGCTTGGGAAAATTTCAGTCAGTGTCTTTGGGGCTCTTCATGTCATTGTTACAAATTATAGGTAAGTACTCTTCTCAGGTTTACAGCAAATAGTTGCTAGACAAACTGAATATACAGTAACATTTTCCAGGAGTGTAATGAGAATGTCAGAACAAGAAATTCGTCTGACCTGTTATTGCCTAAATTAATGGATTCATCAGAACCAGACAAGGACTCTTTTGTAGCAAATGAACATTTTGAAAGATTTTAACATTTTCCCACTAACCAATACTTAAGAGAATTCAGACTGAGAAGATTTTATTAAGAGCAGCTTCCTTCTTCTCCTCTGAAGAGAATGTCGGAACAAAAATTCTTCTCTCTTGTTATTGCCTACATGAATGGATTCTTTGTATAAAGACCAAGTGGTTCATCAGAACCAGACAAGGGCTCTTTTGTGGCTAGTAAACATTTTTTTCCAGCTGTCCAACACTTAAGAGATTTCAGATTGAGAAGATTTCATTCAGAGCTGCTTCCGTCTTCCCCTCTGCTCTACCCACAAACCCCTTACATGTTCTCCAAAGACAAAGAAAAGGTCCAACAATGACCCTGCTACTTGAAATAATTCAGAACACTGCCGTCATGTCAGAGAAAACTGATTCTCCAGTGGTTCTCCAGTATATACAGCTCTCACAATAAGACAGTGCAGGGTCAGTCAATGTCATGAAGAAGCAGCAAGTATTCTATTCAATGGTGTGTGATGAAAGGTGTGAAACTCTGCAGTCCTGTTATTCAGAAATGCCACACAAAGCTTGAAGATGACCTATTATGCTTCCTTGAACAGGGTAGGTAGGTCATTGTGCTATGTAAACCATGTTCATTACATTTTCTGCATAAATTCACTTTTAGATAATGAGATTTCAGTCTCAGTTATGCCCATTTTGAACTCCCGTCAGAATGAGCTGTTTAAAAATCTCTTCTCACTTTAAATCCAAATAAGCTGTTGCTGGCCACTCCCCCCAACTCAATGTTTACACTCGCAAATGAAATGGTTGCAATCAGATGAGCAGTTATACATCTGTACATCTTTGAAAAGCATTAGAAGAGCTTCCAACACAACCAACAAGAATGCAGCAAGAGGTTTGTGGATAATGTGTCAACAAAAAAAACAGTTGTCTTTTCCAGCAGCCATTGTACAGTGCATGCAGCAGTAAAATCAGCTGATCAAACTTGCAGGAGTTCCACTTGGGTTGCTAGATGACAGGCTGGGCTTTGCTGGGGTTGTTAGGTGATGGGTTCTTCTTTTGTTAAGCTGCTAAGTGAGGAGCAGTGTCTGCTCATTAGTGACGTTACATCCGAAGATTTTTTTGAAACGGACACCAAAAATAATCAACTTATTGCTAAAAACGAGCTGGATGTTTTTTTAAGCACCAGGGACGGTTTGACAAGCAGCAGCAACCAAAGTGGAAGTACAGTGACATACAAAATGTAAAATTAAAATTATGTAAAATTCATACATATGAATGTCCCCTTTAAACAGTGTTTACTTTAAGAATGCTTTTCTCAGAACAGAAAGTAAAGGAGCTGGGGTATTTTCTTACTGAGGTCTCCTAGCTGGACATGTCCCAGCACATAGAGGCCGCTCTTCTTGATGTCATTGATAAAAGTGATGAGGCCCACGCTGCTGCGAGGGTTGGAAACCATGAGGAGGATCTGAGGTCTCCAGAACTTGATGTGGTCTTTCCTGACATCTAGCATCAGAAGGTATTTCCGTACCTATAGCAGAAAAAAATGGGTTAGAATATGATTTTATCTCAACCAGCGTAAACGTAAATGCTTACATAACTTAAGTGATTTCTATCAATGAGTTAATAGGCATGTGCTTGACAGGCCAATCACATATCATTGTATAACTAATGATAGATAACCAGTGACTGATTTGTCAGCCATACACAAACCATTATTTTTATATTTCATTTGAAGATCTGCCTAATGCATTGCATATCTACTCTGTCTTGTATTTGTATTTGGTGTAAACATATTTTATTCAGCTAATATCTTTTTGCAGTTCTGTGTTTTATTTTGGTAAAACATATTCAGAAATTTTACATGTGAGTCAGAGCCCGGGGAGAAGATATACAAGTCTCTTCAGCACCTTTTAACCTTTTATGAAGACTAAACTTATAAAAAAAAACAAACAAAACAAAACAATACAAAAAACAGGTCCAGTTCAACAGGTCCAGCTATTTCATAAATTTGAAATAGCTGGAAGTTCAAAATGCAGTAAAGTGGTCCAGTTAGTCAAAAAACATAACAAAACAAAAAGAAATGTTAATTTGTCACATCACAAATTTTAACATATTACCCATTAAGACAAAATGCCATGCAACTATACATTTCTGAACACACCTAAGACCCCAAAAAACAACAAAAACTGAAATATAAAACTTTACTATGCATAACTTTATCATTAGGCTTTTAGTCTTAAGAAAATTAAAGATGTCAAAAAGTTCAGACTAATCCAGACATGGAAAACAGTATACGTACTGTTGGAGGACAATCAATGAACTATTTAGGAACCATATCCATGTGGGATTAAACACTAAAACAAAACGCTAAAATGAATTTATGCCAATCTTGGGAAGTCTGTTGCTTTATTTGAAGCTGCATTATAAAAGTGTGAATCTGGAAGAAAAGTCCAGCTGAATGATAATTTGATCCTACTGGGAACTTCTGACCTTTTTGAGTGCTGCCAATAAAACCTGGAGTTACTGGAAAGTTGTGGAGAGTTTCATTTCTCAGGAGAAACCAGCAAAGAGGTGATGTGAACAAAGACAATTTGGGATGAGTCATCCAGTCATCTCACATTTAGATGAGTGGGACAGGGGTACGTCCTCAAGTGCTTCCCGCCAACAAAAGAGCTTGCACTTTTTTGGCCGGAGGAATCCTCTACACAGGAAGAACACCACATGAAAGGGTAAAAACACTCGAAAATGATTTTATTATAAAAACACATTCAGGGTATGTTTTATTGGCTTGTGGTGGTGCTAAAACTTTGTTAAAAAAAGGGTTTTTGATTTAGGATTCGGCCTGAAAAAATAGACAAGAAATCATTCCGATAATGTCTAAGCAATGCAAGTTCAGCTCGATCTCCTGAAACTGCAAGTTAATGTGTGTCCGCGTGACAATCAATCAAAAACCAAGATACAAACACCATTATTGCTGTCATAATCTCCCCAACTGTAAAAGACAAAAAGACAAGGTCCCAGCAGCAAAGTCTGACTGCCTCCACTCAGCTAATCATCTGTCTCCCTTTATCTCTGTTTCCCTGTCTTCTCATCCATCAGACTATCATCATTTTACTGCTGCTTCTATCTCATCCATCACTTAGTTTTTCAATCATTCATCCCCTGCTTATATTCTGCTCCCACCTTCTCTCCCTGTGATACAATCAGCACTTCTTGCCTCCGTTTTGTCTTTTTATTCCCTCCTAAAAACAGCTGTCGACCGCCTACTATCTAGCTGCCTTTCTTTGTTGTTATGTGCTAATGTGCTTTTCATCCCCGTCTCAATGTCACACTGGTGGCAGTCCGATACACCGGCTACTGCTGGAGGGTGCAACTGTATGCATGTGGCACAGCATACATGCACAGATGGGGTCTTTAGCTCAGCCTATCATTTGTATTATTTTTATCAAAGTGGGCTTCTTGCTAGAGGCGTGTTTAGAACCCACTTCCACTGAATGATGAGAAGTGGGGGCGGTGAAATGAGAAGGCCCATTTGTAAAATGAATATAAGAAGATGTTAAGACGTGGATTTAAAGTTCATAGAAATGATTAATTACCTAATAAACACATTAAACCCAATACAGGAGCCATATTTACGTTGTGTACTCAGGGTGCTAAATGAATGTCACATAATGTAGCTTATCTCAACATGCCTTAAATCAGTTAATAACTGCTATTTGTTACTGTCTATGGATTGAGACCAACATTGACCATAAAACTGGTGTCTTTCATTACCGAGGTTCTGGTCCAGTGGCATCAGAATATGAAGGAGTGATCTGTACTTCAAAAGTAATGTCACAGTTTCCACTTATGATCAATAATTTACTGCCTGTTGCTAAATATGTCTGCCCATTCTGATCCTGGTTTGGTTTGAGATTTTTTCCTAATAAAATTATTCCTCTTCACTGACCTGCTGACCTTTCCTCCCAAATGGTGGGAATAGCATTGAAATCAAGGTTTGAATCCAAAGTTTAATTCGGAGTTTTTCAATCGGCGATAAAAATAAGGATCACTTTCTTCAACATCCCGTAGAATAAAATGTTGCCATCCCCTCTTTGCAAAAGTTTATTATTTTTGAAGTGTAATAGAAATAAAATTGTTGTTCTTATGCTGACGGAGGACTTACTATCCACTTTTCTCCACTCCCTTGTCATTATTGTCTTTTCTTTCTATTTGTGCTGCTGTAATTATTTTCAAATTTCCCCTACTAGAAACGAGAATAAAAAGACTTCTGATGTCTGTTTGTGTTTATCTCATGTCTGAGCTGGTCAAGGAGGTGGGCTGCTATGCTAACAGATGTCCTGTTAAAGGTTTCTTCTTGCTTAGAGGTAGCTGTTCTCCTCCAGTCTAAATCTAGTTTGATGAAAATTAAACTGCATGGAAGAAAGAGTCGAAGCAATCAAACCTTCAAAAACTTAACTGATTGTTGTTTTACAAGCTGCTAAAGCTGGATATATTGCACCTGTACTGAATTATTTGGAGTGAATTCGATTCTATATTTTAATATGAAGGAGATCTGTGCAATGGATTAAGACGGATTTCACTGTGTAAGACCAGAAAAACTGACCAGAAAAAATGCATATTCTTTAAAACATGATTGCACTTTAATTAATTTATTTCTCTCTGTCTGTATCTGTTAATGATTTTGAGGAACTGAACATATATCTATCTATTAAATTTGTACTGCTGAACAAAGTTTGTTGTTGGAGCTACTGTCAAGATGAAGAAAAACCATAGAAGGGAGGGGTTGTGAGAAGTACAGAAAAATAAAATTGTATTAAGAAAAGCACAATAACTTAAGTAACTGTAATAATGTTCTGTCTCTTGACAAGCTGCTGGAGAACCCAGCCAACATCCCCCTCCCTGCCTGTAACCCCCAGCCTGCAGCATTGGCAACGGCTCCCCTCGGCTGCCGGCCCTTCTGACAACATTGGCCCCTCTTCTTGAAAACAGGCAACAGAGGACACAGCGCGCTGAATGATGGAGAGCGTGTGTTTGTGCCATAAATGTAGAGCGCTTTACTGAGGGAATAGATGCAGATGTGCGTGTTTGTGTGCTTTTCTGTCTGGTAAGCCTGATATAAACTTGATAGATGTCGGCTGTAGGAATGACAAACCTTAATGTGTATGGTTGAGAAAAATAAAAAAAGCAGAGGGAGAACGCGTGTGTGTACTTCTGCTAAATGTAAAACGATTGGGAGAGGAAGTGGAGAGTGAGACTGCGTGTGTGTATGGGTGCCTGTGTGCGTGCGGGTGTGTATGTGTGTGTGTGTATACGGGCATCTATAAAGCTGATAGAACGATTGCTTGGCAGAGGTACAGGATCGTGTAAAGCGGAGGGGATGAGATTTTAGTTGCTATAGAAATGACAAGCAGTATTGAGAGTGTGTCTGCGTTTGTATGCGTGTGTGTACGTGTGTGTGTGTTTGTCAGACCTGGTGGAAAATGAGAGCCTGGCTGATGTATCCCCAGCTGGACGTGGGGCTGAGGTAGTGAATCAGCAGGAGGAGGAGCAGCATGAAGGCAATGCTAGCTGAGGCGTAGATGGCGTTGATGAGGAACATCATGACGGCACAGCCGATGATGCCCAGTATGCAGGTATGCCAGGTGAAGTAACGAAACGTGGGCCTGAGAGGGAAATAAAAGGGCTGGAGGTAAATCTCAAAGTAGAAGTTGCAGAAAATTGAAAATGAATAAACAGGAGGGCAGAAATGCCGGCCTGTGATATTTGAAAACATCACCGTGAAAAAGAGCACAGTGGGAAAAAACATAAACAAAACAAAAAAATTCCATGTTGGAGACTGTTTTCAATACAAAATACCCCAGAGGATATTTATGTCTCTGGTCTCCAATTTAGTAGAAGTGTTTTCATTTTGAAATTAATTATTTGATAAGTATGTTTTGGATAAAATTTCAGCAAATCATTTGTTTTTGTTTCAGACACAGGAATAAGAAGTGAACTAGAACTTGTTGGTCACATCACTTCCCAGCTGTAATACACTTTAATATGCTCCTCTGAGTAAATGAGATTTAATTACAAGAACAAACTTTTGTCCTTGTACTTTAGAAAGTAATTGCTCAAAAAAATAATTTTAAATAAATAAAGTAGACGTTTAATGGGCCATCTTAAATAGAGGTGCACCGAAACGGGATAATTTATAGCACGGCCTGTCCTGTTGGGTGAAAGACCTGTTGGAAAATGACAGACATCTTTTGGATGGAGTTGTTTAATTTCTAAATATTGTTGTAGATATGCATCATGATGCACATTAAAGCCAAGTTTAATGTGTAGGTTACTTAAGAGAGTTGGTAGCTGGATGTAGACATTATGAAAATCAGTGGGGAAGTTGTTATTGCAGGGGAAAGACTTTGACATCTGTTGAGCAAGAGCATTCAGTCTGGGCTCCAGACTGTCAATATTTAGTAACATTTTGTTACAAGTTTCTAAACTTGGAAATATAGCTTGATTTTTGTTATTATTATTAATATTATTTAATTTATTTTTTTAACTCTCCTAAACATTAGACACAAACAACACAAGGGAACAAAAACCTATGAGAAAAGGAACTTCATAGTTTACCCTGTAGAAGGGTAGTTGTATCATCTACCATTAATAAATTTGTATTTTACATTTAGAAAACTTTTACTCAGGCAGCATACCATTAGGGAAACATGAAATTGCAATTTTGTTTAATATTACAATGAAATGGCCCACATCAGCTTCACTACTCTTCTCCACATCACAGCAAGACCCCACAATTCCCCCTAAGCTTTATGATCTCTGTCGCCAAGAGGTTATTTTCCTTTTTTATTGACTTAGGATCAAAACAAGTCTGGCATTAATGCGAAGACAAGATCAATTATACCCAAAGGGATGCAGATCATTAGCCACAACTTAAAAAACTACAACTTGCTGTTGTAGCTTTCTTAGTGTTTGTGTGCAGAAACCTATAATTAGGAAAACAAAGATCTGTTTATCTCACATTCTAGGAACTAGATAGAGGTGTGAGATACACATTGGATAGAAACTGAAAATTTTACTGGATCATGTAATTGACCCCAATTTTCCTGCAGCACCTGAAGGCGTGTAGATGAACAGCCGTAAAGATGGAAGGAGCTTTAATTACACACCTCAACATGGTGGGTGCTTCCTCCATAGATCAATACACATTTTTGACTAAGAGGCAAAAATGAACAATCAATAAACATGAAACTGAAGCAATGCGTAGATCTAAGCAGAGAAGAGAGAACTGAGAACACAAAGATGTTAAAATAGTTGGAGCGTGAGGTAGAATGATAGAAGAGACCAATGAAAACCTGGGTGGATCTAAATTTATAAACCTGAAAATGGATATTTTGAGAGCTCACAGATGGTGAAAGCTAATTTCTTGTAATGGGCTTGAAACAAACTCCCTCTGTGAATCAGACAGTAATTGTACTCCGACATCATATGCCAGGCAAGTCCAGATTAAAATATCGGAACAAATACTGAACAAGTACTTCATGGAAAATTCAGTATTGTATCCAGAAAACCTTAAATGACAGACACAAATTGTAATAAAGTGTTGGCTTAAAATTTATAAGATTAATGAGAAAGCATGTTCCTCTCTTGTGATTAAAAAAAAATAGGAGAGTCTGCTTGTCTTTTAAGTCATGCTTCAATTGACCAATAAAGTTCAGTGATCACAAAAGATCATTCAAGGACGTTGTAGTTAAAACAGCCTCAACTGAGATATCCAATGCCAGATGAGGCTGTAGCATCGGGTTATTGTCCAACATCTTGTAAACAACATTCACTGTTAATTAATCAAAGATGAATTACATTTACTGACAGATTGGGTTGGTGACAAATGAGACCAAAATAAAATTTGTTTTTGATCAATCATCCACACCCCACCTTATGAGGTGAAAGCTGATGAATTTTGTTCAATAGTCTGATTTGTGAATCAATAGCACAATACTGGCATTTCCTTTAGGCTCAGTTGTTTTTGGTGTTTAGCAGAAATTAAAGACTCCATCAACAGTAAATCAGAATGTTAAGGATTGGGGAAAAAAATAGCCAATAGCAAATAAGTGCTGCTTTTGGCTCATGGCCTAATTGTCCTGAAGACAATTTGGTCATACAGTATGTATTTCAATAAACAGCCTAAATGGGACATAAGCTGTACATTAACCTTTGTGAGATGACAGCAATGGACAATTGCAATATTGGAGAAAGTTCAGCAAAGAAGAAGTTCTCTCTACCTATGTAGTGTTTCTTATTTAACATTCAATAAAAAATGTAAACAATTATGACAATGATTAATCTTTGTGATCACAATCCCCATCACTATTGCAATATTCAGTCATAATTTGGAATTTCATGCTTTCTGAATGTGAAATACTGGGATAATGAAGGTTCTCCATTGATTGCTTTCCATTAACACTGTACCTGAAAAACTATTATATTACTATTGTATCAAGGACAACTTTATATAGGGATCCACTTTGGTAAAGATTTTAGCCCATCCTTGTTTGTTCTGGCTGTTGAACAGTAGTCTTGAAACTTTACTTTTATTTCCCCTTGACTTGATCACTTAACGCAAGCGTTGGCCACCATTTTCCAATCTCCCCCTACCCATCCCATCTCAGAGTGGAATTAATTACAGTAAAAGCCTGCCCACCTGGTAAACCATCCCCCACTCATCCTTTTAGTCTCTGCAGGAACTGTTGCTGCTGATCAGAAGGGCTCCACTTAGCCACCTCCCCATTTCCCATCTTGCTTGCTCTCCCACGACTGATGTCACTTAGCTGAGACAGCAAAATCGCCCTAGACGAAAAAACTTGCCACAGATCAAGTCCTTGGAGATATAAAAATGAGGAGCAGCTAAGATGGAGAGTGGAGAGCTAGCTTGCAGCCAAAAAAATACGTCATATCAGAAGGAAAAGTGGGGACAGACACACATACAGGGGAAGACTGCCAGGAGATGCCACATTCTATAAGTGAGAGGTCTGAGTGTGTGAGACATTACGTCAGGCTGCCTCTGACATTAGGGAGGGTTCAGCTTAGACCGACTTGACCTTAAATCTTTACTTAATTGATATTAGAACAACGTGGTAAATGACAACTATTTCTCCTCATTAGGGCTGTATGAAGGAGAGTGTGACTTAAAGTTGGAGTTCACTTTCAAGTTTGGATGGAGCAAAAGTAAAGATTCTCTCAAATGTTGTATTTAAAGTGCCTGGAGAAATTTAGCCAAGATTTCAAGTTGTGAACCTATTAATGACTAAATTTCAGAGTGCTTTTCTAACTCATATTTTAATACAACTTATTAAAATGTAACCTCAAGATTCATGAACCGTCAAGGACCCAAAACTGGGAAAAAAATAAATAAAATTATATACATATAAAAAAGGAAGCAGTTTAATGGTCATTCTGAAATTTCAAGTATGGTATTGATCACGGAGCCAGAAAAGACAAAAAAAATTTACTCAGTGACAATCGATGAAAGAAAAATTAAAAAGCTGTTTCACCTCAAAAATGTGGGTATTTCAGGTTTTATAATGTGGCATTTTGTTGAGACTGAAAGTATTTTAAGATGAGTGAAATAATTTTTGTTGCCATAAGCTTTAAAACTAATTTCCCTTTAATCAGGATGAATGTTGTCCAGTTTAAATGTAAAGGTGTTGGATTTTGAGTAATCAGTTTGAAATAAAATAAGAAGAAACGAGAATACCAACTGAAGTCAGAGCTGGGACTAGTATCTCTTACACAGAAGTTAGTCAAATCCAAATTTCAACTTCTAATATTGCTGCAGTACATAGAAAACAAAGTGTGTCCAAATTCAGGGGTTGCACACTTCAAAGGCCAGTTACATCACATCAATGCAATAAACACTGTCTAAATCTGAAGATGAATACAAATGCGATTCAAATCTAAGATTAATATCTAGAGGTATAAAAATTTAAAGTTCAAAGAAGTTGTGTTGTTTGGCTTTTGTCATTGATGTAGATATGTTTTAAAACAATTTTTAATAAATAAAACAAACTGAAAACCAGACAACACATAAAAAAAATTAAAAACAACAAAGAAAAAACTAAGTCACAAATGGGGATTGCCAGCAGGTGTATTTTTCTGGTCTGACTATGTAAAGCTATATAAAGAACTTCTATTCTCAATTTGTAAAGTCTCTCAGACATTTCTATTTGTCTGTCTCAAGGTCATAGCATTAGTTTTTTTATTATTGTTTTTTTGGCTTGAGCAAATATCCGCTGACACTTGTGTATTAAATCTTGGCCAGTGACTGTATAATATAGTGTATATTTGTGTTTTTCATAGTGAATGTTCGAGTGGGTTTGAATTTGTCATCCAAGTGGCCACAGAAGCAGGCCATAAAGCACCCTCTGAGCAACACTTCCTGTAGCTGGAAGCACCAGTGATAAAAATGCAGCCAATGCCAGTCACTGTACACAAGATACACTCACAAAAGATGAAAATACAAACATTCTTAAGAAGGTTCAACCACACACTTCTCAGAAAAAAGAAAATTTGACTATGATGACATACAAAAACACTCTCCAAAGTTATCGCTCTCTTGTTGAAAACACATATACACACAGACACACTTAACAAGCAGGCATCTTTTCCGCTACATCATAATTTCAGCCCCTTCCCTCCCCTACACAGCAGCAAATTCAAGGGAAAGGGAAATATTTCTGCTAAATTAGTTATGCTAATTACAGAGCAGCTCTCAGGGGGAGAGAAAGCGCTAAATGGCTTTTAATTCTTTTCGCCTGGAAAGAGATGTGGGAAAGCGCCAGACAGAGAACAGAGAGAAAAGAGCACACACCAAAAATGTGAGGAGAAAAAAGAAAAATTAAACCAATAAACACAAACAACTGGCATTAAAATTAGTCTGGTGGCACAGCAACAGTGAACTAACTGAATTAACAACTCAGGGGAGAAGGCCCAGAATAGGCAAGCGTCCAGACAACAAGTCTTCTTATCGGCTCTGGGAGCCCCGGGGCCCCTGGCCAACAGGGAGGGGACAGTAGAAAAAGTTAGAGAGCTAACTTTGTGTCAGGCTTTGCCAGCGGTCACATACTGATAATGAGGCCTGAGCCGATAGTACACAGTTCTGTACATCCAAAGCACCAAAGCAAATGATGGCTTTATTTTCTCATACTAACTTAGAAGTGTTTTACTCTTGGAGAAAACTATTCTTTCCTGGCAGTCTGGTTCTGATCGTTTGTGAAAATGGAAGTTACTTTAACTTTGGAGACTAAAGTAAAATCTTTTAACTTCCCAGAAAAACTAATTACCCACGAACATTTCAGGTGCAAATGCATGGCTGTTTGTTTTTCATAAAGATGGGTAGAAAACAGGGAATATTTTCTCTTCAATACAGAATAAACAACTCATTTCAAGACAGTATAGGACAGGATTTAAAGAAACAAGTGTGTATACCGCAGTTCTTACACTAATACTGAGTTGATCTTAATGACAGAACAATATTGAGAATGTCATTTTTGGGTTTTACAAAGAAAAAAAAATTGCAGAAATCTGAAACAGTATTTTAAAAGGTGTATTGTTTACGTAAAAGCAGTTGAGATACATGCACCAATAGAAAACTCAGAATCAGATGCTAATAGCTAATACTGAGCCAGTAACAGTATCCTCACTTACAACAAAGATGAATGCACATTAAAAAGACCTTAAATACTGAACTGCAGAGCTATATAAAAAGAGTAAAGGGCAAATTGAGTGAATATATAGTACTTTTTAAATCCTACCGATTACTTAAATAGATTTACACCACAGCAACATTAATCCTCAATAACTCACACACACTGTAACTTTGACAGAGAAAGCAGACCAATATTAAAAATGCTATTATTTGCTTTTTGCTCTTTTTGCAGTGTAGCTTGCTCCTAAAATGATCACTGATTTTGTTCAAAAATAAAGTGTACTTCTTCATTAATATTCGATCAATTCTTAGTAGATCATTAAGTGTGAATACATAGATGAGGAGTGTAGTTTGACTAACTTTACAAACAACAGTTAGTAATAAATGTCCTTTTGTCACTACCTTTACAGATTCAGACCAGAAATGTAACTTGGGGCGCCTCTGGTGGCCCCAATTCTGGCCTCCTAGTGCTGCTTCTTTTTTGTTTTTTGATCTTTTAGTTTTGCCTTATTCATAATGTTTATGGAGTGTTGTATGAATTTATGATTCATACAAGAAAACATATTCCATCAGAATATAAAGGAAGATGGAAAGAAAGTGTCAAACACAAACACATTTTAAAAATGGCATAAAATTGGTAACCAATTAAAATATTATTTGGCTTCTCTGGGAAATGTCATAAGTAAAATGCTAAGTACAGCAGTCAGAACAGATTACTTGACACAGATGATCAATTATCAAGCATCATACTTGATGTTTCAAGTATCATCTTTTGTCAGACTGTACTGACAAAAGAGTCAGTACATTCTCTCTCTCGTTGTGAAAAGCATTGTTAAAAAAGAAAAAAAAAAAGATTAAGAAAATACAATCCAGTTTACACTACTGTTTTACAACCAGCACACACCAAAATAGGCCATGATTTTTAAAAACTTGTGATAAACACAACTTCGACATTAGGGACTCAAGCATGAATGTGAATGAATAGGATTCTTTTTGAGCAAAGAAAGGGAGATAACTGTTTGAATCCTAGACGACGCTGTGCAAAAATCCATGTATAATGAGCTTCAAAAGACAGACCAGTGACTCCTGTTCTGATATTACCAGACGGGGAAATCTGACAATGAGAATAATTAGGCTCATGAACCATCCATTGCATATGACCAGATTTATAGGTCATTTCTTTGTTCAATGACAGTCATTCTGGCATGTTATTTTGTTAGTGTGAGGACTGAAACCATTGTTATTAGGGCATCCGTGCGTATTCAATGCTCCAGCCCTGCTCCAGCCCTGCTTCACTGCTTCAGGTATACATCAGAATAAGGCATTTACTGAACTGTCAGCCTAGTTCATTCATGCAGAACCGGCATGGCTGTACTTTCACTAATCCAATAAAAAATTTTGACAATGCACCTGAACTGCCATTTCATCATGAAATAATTCAAAAGAGCCAGACAAAATTGGTTCTGCTGCATTACACCACTGGATGCTCCTACAGTTGTGCAATGTAAATATGACCATCTTTAGTATGCAGGGACACAGACACACAACCAGAAAAGCACAGTGGAAGACAAAGTCACAAAAATCTATTCTCTTTTCATGTTCGCCATTATGAAAAGAAATATCTTCGGAAGTTAGTCATTTAATTTAGCATTTGCTATCGAAATCTAAAACCAAACAAGTAGTTTTTTTAAAAGCTTTTAAGAAAATAGACACTGCAGGAGAAATTGATTAGCAGTTTTGGACCACACTTCTGAAAGGGATATTTTCAATAACTAATCAAAAGTGATGAGCTTCTTTATATTTGCCAAGTGGAAATGTTTACTTTAGAAAAACCAGAACATACCCACCAAAAATAATTTTTATGTCTTAGCTTATGGGAATATTTGGCATCCTTTTTTCTCAGAAGTTAATTAAGCCAGGAGGTGGCACTGCAAACATCTTACAGGTGATTCTTTCCCTTCAGGTAAGTTATTAAATTCCTAATCTTTACTTGGATTCAAATGATCGGTTGGTGATCAAAATTGAAACATTACCCTTTAAATTAATGTAGACTTAAAATTTAAATTTTAAACAGAAATATTTAAAAATGTATGCTTAATATAAGTTTTATGTGACTGAGGTCTAATGAAAACACCAAAATTGTGTTTTTTCTGATATTAAATAAATATCTTAAAAGTTTTGTGCATTTGCAATGGAAACACATCTACCGTACACGGTGATAATATAAAAGGTGTTGATCTTTTCTCCTGATATAATGAAACTGAACACAATAATGACAGAAATAAAAAATCTTTAAAACTACAACTACATACAGATAGAGCTCCAGACCAGATGGGCCAACATGAACACCATGATGGTGACCCCAAATTTGCTGAATAATTCACAATCAATCTGTGATCAGATGATAACTGGTTGGGAAGATCATAATATCAAGGCTCTGTTGGAGGGCCTGCCAGCTAAACATGATGAGATATTACTCTACATTGAATCAATAACTTTTTGGATAAAACCTATTGGTTTATAAAATAACACTTAATGGATGCTTGGCCTCACATTTTTTAACAGTCATCACTTGGAAGCTAAGTCATCTGAAAAATGTTGCTGATATGGATAGCTCTTTCAGATTATTAAAAGTTTTTGTGAAACATTTTGTAATATAATGTGCTCATTTTAAAGTTGTAAATAACATTTACATGTGAAAATACATAAACAGAATCAATGAATACATGTAATACTGTTTTCTATCTGGGTAAATTATTATTGATGTGAAGAATAATCACTATTTGATCAGAAAATCTCTTCAAAGGTATTAATAATAATTGATCATCACCATTATTGAGTGTGATTCATGTAGCTTGTTGCTATTCTAAATGTTTGTATTTAACAAGTAGTCCTTCATATTGTTTAGGATCCTATAAGCATCTTCCTATTTCAAGAAGATCATTTGAGCTGCAATCTGCTGATGTGTCTGCAATAACAGAAGCTTAAGTGTCGTTAACATGCACTGCAACTCATTTCTGAGTATTGCCGCAGAAGAATATCAAACTCTTAAACCAGCACTGGATGCAATCTGTCAGTACAATAAAGCAACATGTGATGTTTATACTATTTCATTCCTCCATTGCAAATAAAACTCAAGTGGTTTAAATATTTCCTGCAAGAAGAAGCCGCCTCTGGATAAACAGTATGCTTACTGAATTGAGGAGGATATTTTCTACACAACAACATCAGCTGCTGACAGGGAGATGTGAAATGACTCATAAAATGGTATGTGGTGATTCAAATTCCAAACTCTGGCTGTGCCATGATATCATCCAGTCACATAAACCTCCACCATGTCCGCAGGTAATTTGAGTGATGCAAGAGAATATTATCAGCGAGTTCTTATAAATCAGGATCACTGCAAGTGACCAAGGAATACGAATTTACTTGTACACACAAACACTGTAAATTTTAATCTCTAAGCATCACCACACATCGTTACCCCCACATCTAGCTCAGGCCTCACCCTCAGTCGGTTTATTGTTAGTCCCTGTTCTCCATGAGGCTGTAAGCACTGGCCAGTTTTATGTTTTTTAATTAGTACATCATCACTGTAGCAGCATTGCACAGGCAAACCAGCTCTTCTACACAGATATAAAATGTCAGAGAATAAGACAAAAAAAAAAAAAAAAAAAAAAAAAAAAAAATGAATAAATTGGGGCGTGTGTCTGTATGGGTACCTGAAATTAGGTGCAGAGGCCCATTCCAGGGCAAGGCAAGCCAAGTCTACAGCAGCATACACCAGCAGGAAGAAAATGGTCACAATGCTGGCAATGGTGTTGAGCTTTCCTGAAAACAGCACCAGCTACAGCGAAAGAAAGGACAAAACAACATTGAGGGAAAAATCAGGAAGGGAGGATTAACATTCAGAAACAAAACATCATTTCCAAGTTAAAATAAAATACAAACATTTAGTGTTAAATTTTATGTGAGATTAGACTGAAAAAGTCATTATGCTAATCCTTTGGAAGGATGTTTAAAAGCATGTTAAAATTTGTCTCTGAATATTTATTGAACTGCTCTTTTTTTTTTTTTTACTTTGACCAAATAAAATGAGAAATGTGCATTTTTTTGCAGTTTTATAAACACATGCTCTCACAAAAACAGACTAATTAAATGCAGTGCTTCATTACTAAAAGGGAACACCAAACTAGAGTTACATGCAATAACTATCACTTATGTTCCTCTAAAGTGGCGTTATAAGTGTTGGACTCCAATTCATTTTAGCAAAATATTGATAATCAAATGTGCTTGTAAAAACCCTTGTGATTGGAAGCAGTTGATATTTAACTTGAACTCCCCGATCCATCAGTTGCTGGTAAGAAACTTAAAAAGCAAATCTTATTTCAGATCAGTGAAACAAATATGTGCTTATAACACCACCTTTGGTGGCTTGGTCAAATTCAAGCCTTATCGAAAAGCTTGAAGTTAGCCATATTCAGCATCAGAGTGCTACTATTTCAGGCTGAGGGAGAACAACAAAGAGCAAGACTTTCAGTATATAGGCTTTATGGCGTACAACAAAGCCACTCTGTTTCATGCAATGGCGCTTTTCAAGTTCAGAGTTAAGGTTAATTATCTACCTTATGTCTCTCTTCTCCTTCAAACTAGAAGACATTTTTTTAGTAATGCTAGCTGTGCTAATCACCAATATTAGATCATTTAAGATGTCATTATCAAATCATTTATCCTCATTTTAAAATAACATTTTACAGTGACTGTTGTGAGTTGGCCATTACATCTACTAAAAAAAAGTAATGATAAGTTGCAGCAGGTAGACTAATAAAAGGAAAACGCTACAACATTAACAAAAACGCAACAACATAAAGGAAAAAACTACAACATAAAGGAAAACACTACAGCATTAACAAAAACACTACAACATTAACGAAAAACGGAATAGGTATGTCCCAGTGGGAGACCTAAGAAGTCGCTGATTGGACTACTGGTTGTTTTACTTTTGAACTGGAAGTTATTCTGGCTTTAACTTGATTTTTAAAAACATGAATGTTTTCGGTGATCCAAATCTTACTACTGCTATTAGAGAGTATTTTGAGTCAGGACATACATACGAGGTGATACAGGACATGCTCTGAACCAACAAAGTGTCATGTTTTTGAGCTGTGGGAGGAAGCCGGAGTACCCGGAGAGGACCGGGGAGAACAGGGAGAACATGAAAACTCCATGCAGAAAGACCCAAGGCAGGGAATCAAAATCAAGATCTTCTTGCTGCAAGGCAAAAGTGCTCCAAATTGTGCCACTGTGCAGGCCTGATGTTTGATTTTTGATATTTTATTCGTGAAATGTATTTTTTATTGACACCTAAGGAGAATTAAGAGACCAGTTGACCTAACAGTCATGACTTCAGACTGTGGCCAGGAAGCTGGAACACCAAAGAGAACAAAAGGAGACAAAGGAGATGATTGTTGATTTCAGGAGCAACAGGATTAGATCAAACCCAATTTCCATCATGGAAGAAGAATATAAACACCATGGTGTTCATCTGGACAACAGACTGGACAGTGAAGTGTCTATAAGAAGGGACCAAGCAAACTGGAAGAAGCTAAGATCCCTCTATTTTTGCAACAAGCTGCTACCCCCGTGACCCGAGTTCGGATAAGCTGAAGAAAAAGGATGGATGAAGTTGTAATTACTCTCTCTTCCACTTTCTGCAAGTTTTTTCACTGTTCACTAACATATCCATCCATATCATGGTGACTAAGATCTCTGAGCATGCTAAAAATCAGGCAGATGTAACATGCTGTCCTTCAAGATAACTGACAACAAGACTTTTTAGCATCACTTCTGAATGTAACTTTCTTCTTTTCAACAAGAACCTCCTTAACCGGCAAAGTTTGTTCTTTTAGAACATGAGAGGAAGTAGCCTCTTCCAAAGAAGTCGAAGAAGAAGTTGAACTTTCAAATATCGGTATCTCCATACTCGAACTACTGAATGAAACGTCACTGCAAAATGAACCCTTCAACAGCGGTCTCTTTTGGCAAAGCACAACTTTGCGTCCTCGGTGGGGAAGGCTTGAAAAGAGAAGCATCAAACTCATCGTACTCTGAAGCACTCGTCCTAAGAGAGAGAATTCTCCTCTGCTCTATGTTTCCCAGCCGGGGAAGGATTGTAAAGAAACATTAAAATCATCGATCCACACATTCTCAGAGGTGAGATTTTTCTCTGAGCAATCTTCCCCAGCCGGAGAAGACTTGAAGAGAACAACATCATAATCATTAATGGACTCGTCTGGAGAGGTACTCGTCTCAAACTTTATGCCAGGAAGTATTTTGTTGAAGACTTTCTTTACTCCAGTGGTGATATGATAACCTGTCGCAAAAGAAAGTGGGAAACACATTGTGACTAAAATCAAAAATAGTTGCTAAACTAAATGCCGATTGTAAAGAGTCGCTTAGTACTGAAAGCTGATGTTTTGAGATCCAAGCCTTTATAGTCTCAGATGTCCTTAGACCTATGACATTTTAGTGTAGTGTGAACTGGGCTTTACTGACACTTCGTGGTTGGTTCGGAGCATGTCCAGCATCACCTCGTATGTATGTCCTGACTCAAAATACTCTCGAATAGCATTAGTAAGGTTTGGATCACTGAGTACATTCATGTATTTAAAAATCAAGTTAAAGCCAGATTAACTTCCAGTTCAAAATTTTATTTAATGTGCATGGGCAGAAGCTGCTGGATTGAAGTTAACCGTCAACTCTGTTTTCTGTTTGTCAGAATAAATACAGTGAACCTGAATGTGTCTGCTGTGATGTCAACCTACTGGACCTGAGATGAACAAAGAAGGGTTTCCTGTAAAAAAAAAAATGTATTTCTAAATAAACCATTTTTAGCCAGAGCAAAATTTCTTGAAAATGACAAATGTTTGATTGAGTTAAGACTACTTATAATCACCTGGTTACACTTTGGCTGATTTTGGTCATCACATCAGGCATACATCATGTAGTAACACACTTTTAAAATTTATGTTATTGCATTTTCCAGGGGAGGCGGGCTTGTAAGAACCACAGGGTGCAGTGGCTCCAGTGAGGAACCAACTGATTGAGGCAAAGGTTCACTTTTAATTAAGATGGTATCTAAGCTGCTGCTGGGCTACATGAACTCAGCTATGTTAGCTGTGACAGCTGCGTGACGGCACAGCCAAGTTTGGTCCCTTGCTATTTAAATTCAAAGCAGCTCATTTGGAGGGAGAGTTGTACATCTAATGAGACTTGCTGCATAAGACTGGAGGTGCAGAAGCTTTGTTCTGAAGATGACCATGACATGAGTACTGCTCCCTGCCATGTCCACTGATATCAAAATGTGTGAACATAGCTAAGCACAATTTACCCTTAGCTACTCCAGAAGTACAAAGAAAAGAGTAAAACCTAGTTTAAGCTAGATGCAATTCTTAAGATGTTAGTATTTTACCAAATTGTGAGTATAGTTAATACACTTAAAAAAATACACATAGTTGCCAAATAAATATTTGTAACATTTGTAACAAGAGTTTATGAAGCCCAATCAAATGCAAATTCAAAACTCAGTTTTCACATCTGGACAAGGTTATGCTAATAAGCACAGTTTAAGAAAATAAATAAAAAACAAAATTAAACTATAAATCACTTAGAGAAGCTGTGGCAAACTAGTTCATAAGCCTTTGAGTTATTTTTTAAATGAAAATACTTTATGTGACGCTTCTTAGATCTACAAATAAAAACCATAGACAACTTAACCAGTTGGTTCCTCAGTGGAGCCAATGAATCCCGTGGTTCTTACAAGCCCCCCTCAGCTAAGTAATCATGAAAATAAGTTTTGATAAAGATTCAGGACTTTCAAAAACACTGGGAACACTATGCAAAATCACAGAATACATAGAAAACATTCAATTTAGATTTTTTTAATGAATAACATTAGCTCATTTTACTCTGATTTTACAAGGATTACGTTTACAAAAGCCATTTTATACGATGGATACAATTACAGGTGATGTATTGCTAGAATATGCAAGGATGTCATGCAGATAGCCATGCAGATTTAAACTTATATATATATATAAAAAAAAAAAAAAAATTCCCTTCTCACCCACCACGGGTGGTTCTTATCCTCTGAGCTCGGGTCCTCTACCAGAGGCCTGGGAGCTTGAGGGTTCTGCGCAGTATCTTGGCTGTGCCAAGGACTGCACATTTCTGGACTGAGATGTCTGATGTTGTTCCTGGGATCTGTTGTAGCCACTGCTCCAGTTTGGGGGTTACTGCCCCGAGGGCCCCGATGACCACAGGCACCACTGTGGTCTTCACCTTCCAGGCCCTCTCCAGTTCCTCCCTGAGGCCCTGGTATTTCTCTAGTTTCTCGTGCTCCTTTTTCCTGATGTTGCAATCACTTGGTATTGCTACATCTACCACAACGGCTTTCCTCTGATGTTTATCCACTACGACAATGTCTGGTTGGTTCGCCATTACCATTTTGTCTGTCTGGATCTGGAAGTCCCACAGGATCTTAGCTCTGGCGTTCTCCACCACCTTTGGGGGTGTTTCCCACTTTGATCTTGGGGTTTCCAGTCCATATTCTGCACAGATGTTTCTGTACACTATGCCTGCCACTTGGTTATGTCGTTCCATGTACGCTTTCCCTGCAAGTATCTTGCACCCTGCTGTGATGTGCTGGACTGTCTCAGGGGCCTCCTTGCACAACCTACACCTTGGGTCTTGTCTGGTGTGGTAGATCTGGGCCTCTATTGCTCTGGTGTTTAGGGCCTGTTCCTGGGCTGCCAGGATGAGGGCCTCTGTGCTGTCCTTGAGTCCAGC